TCTATCTATCTATCTATCTATCTATCTATCTATCTATCTATCTATCTATCTGTTTTAATTTTGTTGAACTGAGAATAAAGCTTAGTCTCTCCTTTGTGTCCTTTCTTGTGCCATTATATTCACTGACATGTTTGTACCTAATGCAGATGACACCCACAACATCTTCATAAATTCAAATTTTAGAGTAAAATAAAAATATTTTCTTATTTGTATAAATGGAAGCCTAGAGCTGAATTACCATTCCAAATCTGTCAGAAATTCATAACAGGACCCAGAAGGAATGCACAGTACAGATCAGCCTATGTTAAGAAGTGATGAAACTCTTAAAACCGAAGTCTTCATAGCAAGTCTTTATAACTCCTCCCCTCCCCCTGTGGCTATCAAGGGCTGCTTCTCATTTCATATACCTGTACTTAGGCACAGAACAAACACCTTCTGGTTGACATCATGGCTGCAGAGAAACTTAGGGCAGATCCATTAGCAATAATCTTCATGACTTTGATGTGACGAATCTCTCTTTACTTTCCAGTTAGTTAACTGGAACGAATCCCATGGTTCTACTGAACTATGGTGACAGAGTCAGCTCCCACTGTGCACTAAGAACCAAGGCTTAGCCACTCTTTTAGTGGCCACGAATGCCAGATGCATAACTTGGCTGAAATAAGTTATTGTCTATCCTGATTTGGGAAGTATGGGCTTCCGCAACAGCTCACAGAAAACTGAGAGCATTGGCAGAACAAAGCGAGTAGCTACTACCATGGGTGGGGTTAGGAGAGGGTCAGCCTTGCACTTAGTGAAGCTGGTGTTAGGTACATTGCCAAGGTTCTGACTCAGTTTGAGCATATCCTCTTGTGTAAATTAACGTTTAGCTTCAAGGATTAAAAATTGACCACATCACTTGGGGAGGAGAGTGTGTGGAGAAGGGAGAGGAAGGGAGGTATTGGGGGGAGGAAGGGAGGAATTGGGAGGGGAGGAGGGAGGGAACTAGAGGGGGGATACAAAGTAAATAAAGTATAATTAAAATGACCACATCTTTGGTTGTATCTTAACATACAAAAGCTAATTTCCCAATTTCTTATTTTATTCTGACTCCCTGAAATCCCAGTAATTTTTTTTTTTTTTTTTTTTTTGCGGGTGTTGCTTGTTTTTTGTTTTTAAATAATACTTTAGGTTTATAGCAATTCTTTGTTTTGAATCACAGGACATATCAGTCTGTGAAACTGAGATAAGTTTTATGATTCCACTTATACACACACATACACATACACACACACACACACACAAATGCATGCAGAGGGGCATAACACTCACAGTACACAAATTCATGGAGAAGGATACACAGACAGACAGACAGACAGACAGAGACAAAGAGAAATAGACAGACTGACAGACAGAGACAAAAATAGATCCTGATTGGTAGTAGCTAGACTGTTGCTGTCCCCTGGAAAATTAGCAGGATGTTTTCCCACACAGATGCTCATCGAAAAGGGCTTTTGCTCTTGGCAGTGACGAACAGATGCTATTTAAATGAACCCAAGGGGAGATCTGAAAGATCTCATCTTCAATCTCTGAAGAGTCCATTACCCCTTTCCTATTGATTTTTTCTTTTTCCCTTAACATTTAGATTTTCTTCTGGATAAGTGCACCATTAATTAATTTCCATAGTCCAGAGCTTTGCAAAGAAAACCATATTGGCTGGTTCTGAAGAACTGGTCTGTGGAATGAGCTCTAGTTGGCAAGCAGCCAATATGGTTTGCTTTCTTTGTAATGTGTCTATGTAGGATTTCAGAAACTGTGGCTCATCACTTTCCTTTGATTGCAAAGCTCTGGACTATGGAAATTAATTAATGGGGCACTTATTAGGAAGAAATCTAAATATTAAGGGAGAAAAAAATCAATGTGAAAGAGACAATGGAGTCCTCAGAGTTTAAATATGAGATTATTTTTCCAAGAGTTACTTTAAACTTCTTTTGCCAGGAGTGAAACATACTCAGTTCTTAAGTCTACGCTTTTACATTAACATTTTTACTCTGCAAGTATCCTTGAGTATTATCCTTGTTCTTTCTTAGTACCAAGCAGACCACCCCATGCTATAAATGGGCAATTCTATGATACTTCTAAAAGTAAAGGCTGTAGTCACCCCATCTCTCCATTATAGGGGAGAGTAGTAATACATAATATATATATGATGTATTGTTATTAAGTTAGTCATTTCATGAGAAGTACATATGTTAAATGTGATTTTTGCTATGTAAATTTTACCTATTTCTGTTATGATTTTATAGGACCAAAAGTGCATCCATCAGAAAACCCCTTAACAACACTTGTGAAACTTTGAAATTACTAGGATTCAGAAACAGAGACAGTGGTTGGTTTGCTGTTGATGACATTGTGGTGAGAACTGTCCAGAGCGGCTTGATATCATTTGAATTAAGTGAACACCTGGAGAGGTAAGGCCATAGGAGAGAATCGGCCGATGGTGCTCTCCTAGAGCCTGTGATTAATGTGTAGGAATGGAATCTCAAGAATACATTCTTATTGCTCAGATAGAAACATAAGCTGTCGTTCAGGGTGTACTTGGAAATGCAAACCCCACTAGACATGGATGCTGTTTGCAATTTTGCTCACGATAGCTTAGGTAGGGCTTTCGAAACTACTTGCAACCTCGGTTTATTTGTATAGGTTTCTCTCAACACCAAAATAGTTTCCAAACAGCACCTTCAGTTCTTACATTCCGCATTATAGTAATTAACTGTTCGTATTATGCTCATCTCATAAATATGCAGATATAAACTGAATTCAGTCCCTTCATTTAGCACCCTCATTTCCATGTTTTCTAGACGGCCCATCAAAGGAGTGTTTCAGGCATTTTTAAGGTACATGAGAAGTAAATACTCACAGAGAAAGACAATCACATGTCTAAAGATAGGTTTCATTTCGTAATGATGACTTTACCTCTGTTATTATACCAGGCTAAATTCTGCAGAAACACAGTGTGAGATGGGCAAGCGACTGATTGATGGGGCCTCTCAGGAAGATCAGCCAGGGATGAAAGAAACAGAGGGATCCAGGGAAGACAGGAGGAAAACTGGTTTAGGCTTGATTTTTCTCCAGCCTTGTGCTGCAGAGGAGCAATGGAATACCACAATTGTTGGTTTTCATGGCAGTCCTTGTCTGTGGGAAAAGGCTGCTGTGGACTAGGTCTTCTATTCTCTGGAGAACAATCAAGGGTTAACTTGTCTACTTCTGGGACCTAAGTCTGTATCAGTTTCCCAGGTGTGATGTAACAAAATGCCACAAATTTATTATCTTAACAGTTCTAGAGGCTCAGTGTGTCCAATCAGAGTGTTGATAAGGTTCATTCCCTTTGAGGACTTCAAGGGAAGAAGTCCTGCCGGAAGCCTGAACTTGGCTTATAAACGGTCATCTGCCTCCTCACACAGTGTTCTTTGTGTACTTCTTATTATGCTAAAAATTTCTCTTTTGGAGAACATCAGTAATATTGAAACAGGGTCATCCTAGTGAGCTCACCTTAACTTATGTACCTGTGCTGGGACACGGAATGTTACACTCTGAGCATTAGTACTGGAGGATATGGTTTATCAGTTCAAACCAAAAGAAGACCCATGGAAAGGTCCCATTGTAGAAATGGACATGAGTATTTCAGTCCCTCATAGTTGTGTTCTGTGGGCAGATTAGTTTGAGCGGTGCTTTTCTGGAGCCATACTTTCATGATGGAAGCATGAAAATTGCAAACCTTGGCAACCTCGCCATCGTAGAAAGCACGGCACACCCACACAGGCCCTGGGGGCAGAGCCCGTCAAACACCTGAGATGTGATGGATGTAGGCCCAAACTCTTCAGCGTGCTTCTATGCTGAGCATCGTACGAAACTATAACCAACCTATTCAAACAAAAAATTGTTTAGCAAAACATACCTCAGCATAGTAAAGCTACAGTAAAAGCATGGTTGTGTAGCTCATTTACCACGAGCTGGACTTGAAAGACCGAGCATGGTTCTGGGTGAGTCAGTGAACACTGAATCTGTACACTTCTGAAGGCTTTGTAGACAAGGCGTCATTGGTGAGACTACACTTATTATGGCTTTTAAAATCATAAACATTTCTTACTATTGTTTGAGTTGTTCATACATCTAAAAATTCAAATTGTGGGTCATTGTAGCAACAATTAGAACAGAAAAAAAAATTGCTTGGCTTTATAAGACTGTTCCCCTTACATTTTTTTTTTCTTTTTTAAGAATTTTGTCATTGTTAAAGCCCAAGACACCCATGCACATTTTTCTAGGTCCACATAGCATCAGAATCACCAAAATACTGCCTTCTACCACCATACTTAGTTCCACTAGAAGGTCTTCAGGAGCAACAGCATGTCTGGAGCTGCCATCTCCTGTGATCGCAGTATCTTCTTCTGGACCCCTTCTGGAGGTCATACCTTATGTAAACGGAGTACATTCTAAACGAATGACAAAAATACATTATAGTAAGTACAAAAGCTAGTAACATAGTTGCTCATTACTATCATCAAGTGTATAATTTCATACCTTGGCAGGGTGATGGGTTTCTCATACCAACATCACCACAAACATGCGGGTAATGTGCTTGTACTGTGATGCGAAGACCGTAGCATCACTAAGTGATAGAATTTCCCAATTCTGTTGTATTCTTATAGGACCACCCAAGTACTTGCAGATAGTCACTGATTGAAATGCTATGCCATACATGCGTGTGTAATTAAAACATTGGGGTACTTTACAGCTCACCTGAGACAGGATGATTGCTTCAAGGATATGTTTTAGAGGCGGATGTGCTAGTGTACACTTGTAATCTTAGGATGTGACTGGCTGAGGAAAGACTGGCTGGGCTACATAGCAAGAGCAAACCACCTGACAATAACCAAAAGCATGTTTTACAATCTAACTTGAGAGCAAGGGAGAGGCCCCAGTGAGCAAAGCTAGGGCCTACAAACAGGAAGATCTCAGTTATGTACCCCAGCACTCAAAAACCTTAGCATAACAGCCTGCATCTGCAACTAAAGTATTGAGAAGAACAGAGACAGGCAGACCTCTGGAACTCATTGGCCAGATAGCCTAGGGTACCTGTTGAGCTCACTACTGACACTCTGTCTCAAATAATAAGGTGGAGAGGGATGGAGAGAGATAGCTAAGATCTAACATTGTTCTATGGCCTCTAAATGCATGCACATACATGTGCCCATTCGCCAAAACATAGAGATGTATATACCCAGTCAAACATATGCATGCAAAACACACAGACAAATATACAGAGAGAGAGACATAGAAACAAAGAACTTAGCTGATGTGAACAGGCTTCTTAACTGACAGAGGTTTCACTAAAGTCTTTCATTAGTGTCATTAGTTGATCATCAGAATCCTTGCTTTGCTTTTAAGTGAAAGTAAAGAAAAATAACTGTTTTTCTTGGGTCTGACGTGTTTCAATGCTTTACTTCCCCCTCCTGGCTTGCCTCTCTCCTTTTGAGCAGGTTTATCGTACTCCACCTGTCTTCCACAGTGGACAACAGCCAGCTGGTTTCTTTTGTGAAGTCTTTAGAGGAAGCCTCACTCAGCACCACCGCCTGCATTGTACTGTCACACCGGAAGGACAATCCGCACAGCCTGGTTATTTTAGTGGTACCTTCTAAGGAGTTAAATCTGGCTCTGAAGAACTTGCGCTCAGAGGGGTTTGGAGGACTTCCAGAATCATCTAGACATTTCCAAGTAAAAGAAGGAGAACAACTTCTTTTAAGATTTACTGGAAACATATTTGGCTCAAGTAAGTATGAGGAAATATTCTTGTATATTCTACAGACTATAAACCACAAAACCTTAGATGCAAAAACCCCAAATTTGTGTTACTCAGAAAGACTTCCCTTTAGAGAATTTGTAGAAATATTTATATGCTTCTAGTCTTTCTAGGCACTTTTCTCTGCACAGAGGCAGGTGGGGTTTAATGGACAAATGCATTCTCTTAGGACTAGTCTTCACCCTGACTGCCCCCTGTGTTCAGGTTAGCATAAACTTTCCCTTGTGATTCTGCTTACACACCCTGCTTACGCTCAGCAAGAATGTGTTTTACAGTAACAGTAATCTGTTGAAAAACATGTCATGTGACAGGGGGCCCTTATGATGATTTGACTTACAAATGCTGCCTTTATAGTTTACGAAAGCAACCCACATTCAGATAGAAACTGTGTGTTCTGAGTTTTGATCTTTCTCCAGCTTAGCTGTTTCAAGACTAATACTTTCTGTGTTGCCACAGCTCCTAGTGGGCCACCCAGTCTCGAGGGGAAAGAGTTAATACCCCGTGTTGGGTTGCTAAATCATGGCATTAAGTATGTGAAGTATGTTCTATGTGTTTTTGACATATTTTCATTTTGTTAGGTTTATGTGAAAGTGAACCCATTACAAGTCCAGGAGAATCCGTCTGATACTCTTCTGATAGAACAATATTACCCTCCATTGCACCTAAAATGATCTCCAAACTTTTGAATGTGACCAGCAAAGAATCCAACATGGGTCAATGGACACTCAAGAGAGATATGATTAGAAATATGACATGTAACTCCTTATTTTAAACCACATCATTTTACTTTACACATTTTAAGGTATATTTTCAGAACACATTCACATTCCACATTTGGAAAGTGGTCTGAGGCTCAGGAATAGTAGATTTGGTGACTTACTCTGCAGTCTTCATTCATACCTTCACCCAGTTTTACTCTTGTTCCCATTTCAAATCGCATTAAAATGAGAAATTATTGACCTCTGGTTTGGGTTTTACTTATGTTCTCAGGAGACACTCTTCACTGGAATGGGATTTTATGGACGATGAGCATATCTTCCTTGTTCAATGTCCTCTGGCCCCAACAGCACTCAGCTTTCAATGACTGTAGAGTGAATGAATGAAGATACAGTAAAACTCAGGAGAATGGGCAAGATGATAGCAATGGGAAGTGCTAGGGAGGAGGGAGAAGTGAGTGGTTAGGGGAGGTGAAGGAGATACAAGACAGTGAAAGAGGAAGCGAGAAGAATAAAACAGAAGAGTAAAGAGATAGGTAAAAGAAGAGAACTGAAACTCTTTGGAGGAATTGCCGTGTGGGCATTGTTTTCATCAACTCCTTCCTATTTGCAATTCCTTCCTTGAGTAGCGTCGAGTCTCAAGGTGCACCGATAGTGGCGAAGTGTGAAGGAGAACCAAAGGGTGGATTTTTGTGGGGTTTCGGAATCAGGAACCTGGCCATACACTTGATGTGTTGTAACACCCTCTGCATGTGTGTAGACTAATCTGCAGTCCATTGAATTCCGTGATGCCTGCTGTGCCTCATTCAGAAAACGGCTCCAAGACCTTACGCAGTCTTTGTGGTTCACAAAGGAAACGAGGTTTGAAGTCAGTCCTGAGACCCATTATTAACCAGTATCTTCCAGCCTAAAGTACCTCTTTCACTCTTACATACAGCATCTCAGTCATTGGAAGAGTAGGGGAAGACAGGGCAGGAAAGATGCTTACGTTCTGAAGCAGAAGCCACAGTGTACAGTCAAAGAAAGCTCTCTAAAGAGAGATAGTCACTACCCGGAAACTAGTAATACAAATGGTTCTCCTGAAATAGCAAAGTGGCAGCGATGCTGACCTATTATTCTAAACAGGACTGAGCTGCTGTTCTCACGGGCAGTGGATCTGTTGCCTTGCCCGGTGCCCAGGGTCATATGCTAAATTAACACAGCCTAACCCTGGCAGCATGTGTGCTGGGCTGGCCAGGAGGGAGAGATGATCTCTCCCTCACTCAAAGAAACCGAGTCAGGCCAGAGGCCCAGTTCTTTCTACTGTCCGACTCCAGGAGATTCTGGTTCATATTAGGATCCTCACTGGACCTTGTCCAGCGGTCTTTGTTTCAGTGCCTGACTTTATTTTTGTTTGTGTATGTCCCTCGGCACAGATACAACTTTTCATTTACTCCCTTAAGTTGTTTCTCTATAAAGACTCTCTCTGGAAGTGGCTAGTCTTGGTACCCACACAACCGCCTTTATCTAGATGGCACAGGAAAGATAGGAGGAGCTCCGTGAGAAATACTAGTGGAAACAAAAAAAAAAGCCAAAGGTTTTAGCATTGTACTAGTAATTGTGATAACTGAATGAGTTAATGCTGAATAAATTCATTAATAAGTTATTGAATTTAGACCACTGTTTTTTAAAAATCCCAAATCCTCTCACCTACAGATATACCACACAGATACTTTCCTGAGAAAGTTTCACGAGTCATATCTCCCCTTCCTGCTTCTGAGATGAAGTGAAGGGATGTTTGTTCATCCCAATCTTTCTCTTTTGTCGGCCATTCTTCAGAACAGAGCTCGGTCATGCTGTCACTCTCTGTTAGAGATGCCACTACAGCACTTACACATTTTGCTGAATGACCCTGGAGACCCCATCGAGTGCAAACAAAATCCACAAAGTGCTAGCGATTGCTTTGAGAAGGTTTTATATAACGGCACCTACTCCTAACTTCTGGAAATGTTCTGTCCAAGCCTGTAAGCCTTAGAAATGTTCTCAGTGGCCTATGTCCTTCAGTCCTGGGATGTGTGTGTCCATGTATACCATATTGAATTAATCATCCTTTTATTCCGTTCAGTAAAACTTACCCATTGTTCTGCACTCTGCTATCTGAAGACTAGATATGATAAGTGACTGAGTGAGTGTAATGCTGGCTAAAGAGCACATGGCAGAAAATAAAAAAGGGAAATGATTGAAAAAAGGATAGAGTTACAACTTTAAACACTAATCACAGGAGAGCTGTTGATTAGGTGACATTTATATAATTCTCTACCCATCTCAGGAAGCACATCCCAGGCACAGGCGTTCCAGGTCGGCGTAAACTGTGTGCCTGAGGATTATCAGAGACTAAGAAAACAGGGTCACCAGGCAAGAGAAGAGGTAATGGATGACGAAGGCTGACGAGTCCTAGGCCATTGCAAAGACTGTGCCTGAGATTACATTTGGGATGGGTGCTCCAAACAGGAGTAACATGGCTCAAGGGAGACTACAGCTCTCTTGGGAAGAACCTGCAAGGTGCGGGTGGTAGTGAAGAGGCAGGTAATGAGCCATTTCTGTAGGGACTTGGCAGACCTCGGAAGCAGAAGTGTGCTAGCAGGTTAGAATCGTGGAACTGCGCAGGCCCGCTGTTTCAGGGTACTTTGGGTTCTTGCATAGCTAGCACTCTTGCTTCCTCATCTGACTTTTCTAGTGAAAGCCCTCATTCATGTACGCGTGCTTTCTATGATATCAATAAAAGACATTTCTGAGAAAACAAGCATTGCTGTAAGAAACTCAGTTACTCACAAAATAGAAATAATTTTTTAACATGGAAAGTACTTGTGAAATAGTGGTTTTCTCAGCTATCTACTAGGGACTCTGTGTCTTAGGTGCTGAGACTGGGGGAAAAAGTCCCCAAAGGTCACCTAGCCAATGCTGTCCTTCTCAGACTTTGAAATGTCATTTTTACTTCTTCTTTAGATGTGTCAGAGAAAGAGGAAAAACACTGTTATTTCTTTTATGATTTTTAACTTTTGGTTCCTTTTTATCAGAGAATAATGACCCTCGAAACGTGGAGCTCTCTTTTAGCAATGAACTTTAAAAAAAATGGCATAACAAGCAGTTTCTAAACTCTGTCAGTCCTCAGTGATTCCTATTTTATTTACAGACATGACCTCAGGGTCCCATTACAGATGTCACTAAGTCTTAAAAGGAGCTGACTAGCAATGATAGGTTGACAAATTCTAAATGTTGATTTAACCAGTGTAGGAGCACCTGCAAATCCTTCTGTGCTGCATATTTGCCCGCTTCCTGCGAGCAACTGTGACTCTCTCAAGGAAAATAATGTCTTTGAGGCATAAAAGAAATTTCTTCAGTGAGTCTAGTCTGATAAAAGTAGTACTGTTTGTCTTTCTTTCTTTCTTTCTTTCTTTCTTTCTTTCTTT